CATTTCGGCCCATATGACTTTCTACTATGGATCTCCAACAACCAGGTCTCTGGAGATCCGCCCCGGATAGTTGAACAAAGAGATTCTGATATGGTCAGTTTGTAGAGCAACTCAAGTTACGTAGGCACACAAGTTTCCAGACATACCAACTACGTTCTCTCAGAGATATAAAATGTTTAGTGTAAGAAAAACTACCATGCCGATAATTTTCACGAGTGATGAAAGTAAAAATTTTGCATCTCTGAGAGAACGTATTTGGTATGTCTGGAAACTTGTGTACCTACGTAACTTGAGTTGCTTTACAAACTAGCTATATCAGAATCTCTTCGTTCAACTATCCGGGGTGGATCTCCAGAGACCTGGTTGCTGGAGATCCATACTAGAACGTCATATGGACCGAAATGAATATCAGATTCGTAACCAGTATCAAAAATAACCGATGAAAAAGTATGTTTTGATTAAATCGGGGTGAATTACTTTGAACGGTTCCCTCGTTAGTTCATAAAAATATTTGCTCACTCAGAAAAGTTGACTTTTTATTGTTTTGGTTGTCAGCTAAATTTTTTTGAGAAAAAACGTGCTCAGAAAATTTTTTGGAGTTGCTCAATAAAACTTTCCCCGCCTTTGCCAAAGTTATATCGAAAACTCTGTGTATATGTATGTAAGATTTTTCTAAAAAGCTCAGAATGTGGAAATTCATAAATCTAAATTCCACTATATTAAATCTATACATTTTTTCAAGTATTAGCAAAGCTGTCTAGATGTACCGAATAAAACTTGGAACGTTTATTTATGAAATATAAAACAATTGTGAACTTTCATCAAAAGATGAGGAAGTTATACAATGGTTAAATTGCGTAACTCTGCTTTTGGAGTGTGAGTACGTTACCGTTTTCAATGATCTTATGCCAATTGATAAAGAAAAGTGTCCTAGTTAAAACTCTAAAAGGATTTGTGCCCATGATACTTCTTTCAATGATTATGAATTTTTTTGTTTCGCTGAGAAAACGGGTACAAAAAGGATCGCCCAATAATCTTATCAAACTATTATAATTATGGAATAACTATTATTCACATAGAGAATCAATTACATCATCGAAACAAACAAATTAAATAAATTATAGAGAGAGAAGAGAGAGAAGATAGCTTGTCTATAGGAAACATTAACTGGACTACATATGATTAACCATAACAAAGAAAAAATGAATTATTGGGAAAATACGGTTTTCTTTAAAAACAAGGACAAATTCATTAGATTATTTTCCAGAGAGGCTGAATCACTGTTCTTTCTATGATGTTAATCGAGTATTAGAACAATTATAGAAAAAAATGTCAGCTCAAAATTCTCTGTTTTTATCGAGATACAAAAATTTTAGGGTTTTTCTACCTGTTTTCGCAGTGAAACAAAAAAAATTCATAACTCTTTAAAGAAGTACAATGAGCACAAATCTTTTTAGGCTTTTAACTAGGACACTTTCCTCTATCAATTGGCATAAGATCATTGAAAACAGAGTTTGACATCTGAGAAAGTTCCCCCATTAGCTAGCTAGCAATCATTCATATAATACCCTTTTCAAGTGGAATTGTTTTTTAATTAATGAGAAAATTCTGCAAGTTCTAACATTGCAACGTATGGTCATTTCTTTGAAGAAGTTTAAATGTTCTTAACCTGTATAATAATAATATCATGTGTTGCAGGAAAAGATATTTTGAACGGTGTTGTCTGATTCATACTATTTCCAATTCCTAATTGAGCATTTCCATTATACCCCCATGCAAATACTTCACCATTATCGAACAAAACAAATGTAGATGTTTGTGAACATGATATTGACACTGGTTTACGTTTAAAGTCTGAAACAAAATGGACTTTTTTCGGTGTAATATGATTTTGTGTTGAACCTAATCCAAGTTGTCCACAATTATTGTGTCCCCACATGTAGATCTAAAACAAAACAAAATTCATAGAAAAAGTCATGTAATATGAAAAAAATTTACCTCACCGTCGACTGCAATACAAGCTGAATAATAATGGCCACATGCAATCACTTGAATCTTTTTGTCATTGAAAAACGATGTCGATAGACAATAAGGCGTTGAAACATGTGTTGTACTATTATTACCAACTTGACCATAAGAATTGTGACCTTAATAAAACTTTTTATCTTTACAACAAAAACTAGACTCATTAAATCAAGCGATTATACACTACCCCATGAATATAGTATGTTATCTAAAAGAAATAGAAAACTTAATAAATTGTTTATATGATTGAATTTTCTAGTTTAATTACCTTCTGTTAACGCTAGAACATGCGGTCCAAAACCATAAGCGATATTTTTCACTTTTTTCTGGCATAATATTTCTATTCTTCTCGGTTCAAAACTCGCTATATCATCACCTTACAGATAAAGAAGAAAATCAAATATGCTAGACCATCTTAAATTCGTTATACTTTAGGTTACCTAGTCCTAAACAGCAATGGTTATTGTTTCCGAAAGCATAAACGTCATCATCTTTTGTTACATAGATAACTTCGCTGCCTGATCCAAATACACAGGCAAACATAATTTTTTCCAATTCAAATGTATCTAACATAGCAAATACGTTCCAATATTTCGTTTCAAGCATTCTTCCCGCTTTCTAATCTAAAATATAAAATATTCATAAATAGTTTATACTTGAACAAAACTATCATCTTTTTCTAAATCAGTTAGGACATTATCAAGTTTTCATGACAAAATTTTAGCAACTATTCTGGATCCAGTTAACCTGGAAATATATAATATTTCAGTAATATTTGTCCACACAATAAGACCACCAATTCATGTTTTTCTAAAATCAAACTGAACCAAATCCTTATTAAAACAATCAAGAAAGGGAAGGCGTCTAAAGCGGCACGAATTGTTTTTCTTTTTCTATGTTCTATTAATTTATATATATCTTTTTCTACTTTGTATTATGCACTGCAAAACAAGAGTACTAAGTAAACGATGATGAATAACTTCCTGAGTCGTGTCTTACGTCATCTCTTATGCGCACACACCCATGAGATATTGTTCAGTTCAAAGCTTGTCTGACATAAATTAAAGAAGAGTGATATTTCTTGATATTGATTTATATGCGTATATGTTTTCTATAAGCAGAAAAAATAGTTTAAAAAAAGTAATATGAGATGCATAGTATACAACATTTAATTAGATCATCAATTCATTCGAGAATGTATGACTATTCGTGATTGAGGAATAAGCAATAAATATTGATTTCTTAATTTTAATATGAAAGGAGTTTCTTTGAACCATACAATTTCTCATTTTGTTTCATAAATCGTGAATAGTAAGGTTTTGTCACTTTTTCTGGAAAAACAGTTTAATCTATCCACAAACGTTTGAGTAAACGATATCAAGGTGACTACATGAAAACTGCTAACATAGTTAAATTCAAATAATTGAATGAACAAATGATTAGCCAAGAATGGAATGTACAAGATAATACAAAACAACTTGTGACAGAAATCTTAAATGCAGATGAGCAAAGTACAGAAAAATAGAAATAATTTATAAATAAAAATATATTGTATTTTCACAATACTAAAGATAAGACTGGAAATATGATATAAACATGCAGACAAGTTTAGTTACAATACGTTTTCAATTAAAAATCAATAGTTATATCACGAGTAATTGTTTTTCGTTGAAATAAAATAATGATAAATGAATATTTTATTATATGCACAAAAAAAACAAAATAAATAATTTATCAGTTGCTTCTCAATCAATTTTGATGCGTGTTGTTGTCATTCTGTAAATAATTGTATCTTTTGCTGGATCCATCATGTAAAAAACATAGATAATAGCGAACAATGTCAATGCCAATACTAATGAGGTCCAAAAGAAAATATTAAACATTACTGGATATTGATCAGAGTACATAGTTGCAATCGTTACATTTTGTGCCTAAAAAAAATACAGAAGACAAAAATTTCTACGAAAATTTATTTAGAGAGTTTCTTCCAAGATCAACAATGCTGATAAAGAGAGACATAAATTATCTGTTTTAAAAAAAGGATACGTTCGAAAACATGAAAAAAGCAACTTCAAATCATTCAAATTCAACAGGAACAAGCAAAATTATTTCAACAAGGACAAGACACTTTACATTTGATATTATCTCAATATTCATAATCCTAAATATTATACATACAGCGGCTAGTCGTTTTCGACGAATATGACTATATTGAGTTGTTAAAGATAAGGTTAACGCTTCTGGATCTTTCGCAACAAGCTAAAATGTTGAAATACAAATTAGAAAAGAGTATTGAACAAACAATCGACCTTTCTTGCCCGAAGTTTGTTTTCAAGTTGATAAGATATAAAAATTTCTTTAATTAACAAATTTTAGACAAAATTTTAAACTTGATATTTGGATTGTTCGAGAAAGAGGCAGATCACGTATCCGGGCAAAAAACAGATCTCTCTTACTGAAATCATTTCATTTACAAGATAGTAAGGGTCAAGTGGAGTTTCCAAGGCTTGAGCTTTTTTCTGTAGCAACAAAAACAGTTGTAAAACAAAATTTATTTAGGAAAAAAAGAATTTTTGCTTTTGTTCATCATATTTCAAACGACAAAAATATCTATCATAATTATTGATTTCTTACCTTTCGTATTGTATTATTTAATTGTTTCTGTAACTTTTGTACAAAATCATCATTTATTACTTCGTTATTTTTGCAATCAACACAATCAACAACAATATATTTAATCGTTGGCATATTTGTTGCCTAATACAAACAAACATAAAAATAAAAACATAAATCTTCTTGACGTCAGGAAAATTTTCTAACCTTTTTTCCCATTTCTGATATTTGTTTAGTTAATTGCTTTTGAAGATTTTGTACTTCCGATTTTTTCTATAATAAAAGTTAGCATACAAGTCTATCAATCAATACTAAATAAGAGATTGCTAATATACTAACGATCAATATGTTTGTGTTCGTTACACTATTCTTATTACCAATGGCACTCAACTTTTCTGTAATTGAATTGAAATTAAAATCACTATCCTGAAATGTTTTATGTTTTATCAACATTTCTTTCTTTCAAAAGAATCACTCTCCTTACATCAAGTAGTGAAATACCATGATCAAACAGACTGTCGATACCACGAATATGAATTAGGCAAGTTGATGATGGAATGTCAAGAAGTCTTGTTGTTTGAAACAATGGAAATGTAGTGTCATCCTAAAATTGAAAAAAATATGTATAGTAAACAGACTGGACTGTTTTAAACTATCTTACATCCTCTCTTTCGTTTGTTGATAAACCAAAAAGTTTCTCTAAATTGTTCATCAAATCTGAGACACGCAGTTTGTTGTTACTATTTCTTTCAACAAATGAAAGATAATCTGGACCATTGTGAATTGAACACTGGCCTGCTTGTGAATAATCTAAACAATGTTAAAATTGTTTGTATGAAGAATCACTCAAAAAGCGAATAATTGAGAATTACATACGAATAATAGATTGAATAAGACAGATACTTAACAAGAATGCGAATAATGACATCTAAAACTTTGACAAAATGATTTATCAATTGACGACAATGACGTTAAAATACGGGTTCATTCCTTGTTTAATGAAGCGAGGCGACAATTTTCACACAAAATTCGTTATGAATACTAAAAAGGTATAAAAACCTCACAGGCTGAAGAATAGAAATCTAAAATTGAGATAATTAAAAAGGCATCTTCTTTTCTTCTCCTTCAGCAATAAATTACGGAAAAAACACTCCTATTTGTTAAAACAAATCGGTAATAGACCAACAAGTCTTGTCAATAGAGGGCGTAACTGATAAATATACAACTTCGATCTTTAATAATAAGTATTTTTTCAATTAACTATTAATTCGTAGTGAGTATGAACAAAACTGCTAGAAAAAAAAGAGCTCTTAATTTTAACTAATGTACTAGAAAAAGTGAACCAATTCTGTTTTCTGTACTTTTGTTGAATTTTTAGCAATTATAAAAAATTGAAATTCTATGAAAAGACTATCAAACACAAGTCCGACAAAAGACATAATTTACTGCAACAAGCAAAGGAAATGAAATAAACCCAAAAAAAATTGTCAAGTTATATTCCATCGAACACTATACAGAATAAGAAATAATGACAACTATAATGCATGAAAAAATTTGACTAATAACAAAAATAAATAATATTTTTGTACTAATACAGACTATTTATAAACATTTAATCTGAATTTGGAATATGTCTGTCGTTCATTCCATATTCAGCCAGATCGATGCGTATTAACGGAATGTAACAATCGTCATTTATAATCGTTTTTATATGTTTTTGATCATCATCTAAATTAAAATAAAAATAGTAAATTAGGATCATTTTTCGAATGATTTGATAGAAAAAAATTTCCACACTTCAACTAACTCTAGAGTAATTTTATATTGAATAGTAGACTTTTCATTCTCACTGAAAAACATGAAAAAAAAAAGAAGAATACGTACGAGATGTTGTGGAGTGTTCTGAAGTCATTTCGACTGCTGACATTACGGATGACACGGATTTTTTTGTTATCGGATACTTCATTTTTTTCATAGGAACGGGTAAACTTGTGTTATTTTGTATTTTCTTTAATCTTTTCTTTCTCGATGCGGTTAATTTTTTAATTGAAGTTATTTTATTCTCTGTTGAATGTGTTACAAATCTTTTCTCTTTTCGAATAATTGTTGGTTTATTCGTAATATCATACAATGATAAGTCTATTGGAATTACTGAAATATAGCAATTTCTATATTGTGGAAGAAACTTTTCATTTTCCACTTCTTTAAATGAGTATGGTGATACTGAACAACTAATATCGTCTCTTATTACAGATTCAATAATTTCTTCCTGTTGTACTGTATGTTCAGTTATTTCTGAAAAAAGAAACAAAAAGTATAATTATTCGAAAAAATGTATTCCTCGCAATTTATTTACTTACCATTATTTTCTTTCTCGACTATTAACTCTTCTTCGTCTGAATCTGTAGTGGTTATCAAAAGTGAACTATCAAATTGACAATGTTCCACATTCTCAAAATATCTATTAATAACATTATAGAAATTATCGGATGAACATTGAAACTCGATAATAGCCAGAGGTAATACTTGTCGGGGAAAACCATTATAAGACGCGTCAAAATCAAACGCTGTTTTCTGAAATTAGAAAAAGATAACATCATTGTTTTAAATAGAACAAAAAACAACAACAACGGATATTACATACCAAACGTGTGTTTGTAACCGTTGAACGTGGCCCATTGATCAATTCAAATGTTTGTCCTTGTTCATATGTTAATACCTTTAAAATGAAAATGAAACGCTAAACAGCACCGAAAAAAAAATAATAAGAGAATTCAACATACTTTATACTGGATAACATAAACATTCGAACTTTTTTCCATTTTTAATAATTCATCAATTGATTTATATAGGTTAATACCACATAACGTTCGTTGAGACAGCATTGATAACGTTAATTCAACACCAAACGTTGATAATGTTTGATTTTTAACATACAATTTGGAATAGTATATTTGTGTTTTGATACGTGGTGATAGACTCTCAAAACCAAAATAGAATTTAGTTCTTTAGTCATTTTAAGAGATTTGTACTAAATTTATGAGACTTTTGATTTTGTATGTTGCTTATCGAACTATTTGCTTAGTTCGCCAATACCACAAGAAAAGAAGTTCTGTTTGACTTACTTGCATTGTAGATAATTTTTGAAGAAAATGTTTTGATTTAACTGGATCACAGATCACAAACATATTCGTTAATTTCCAATTCAAAACATCATCAACAGTTTTCTTCAGTGTTGATTCAACATTTTTTACGATAGTATTAAATACTATACCATGACGAGTTCGTAAGACAAATACTAATACATATGAAAGTAGGCAAATGTTACTAACGGTAAGAATGGTTTAACTCTATATTACCTGGATCTATATTCAAACTAATCAATTTGTTAACTATTTTATTCTTCTCTTCAAGTCCCATTTTTATTGCGAATAAATAGGATTGTTACTGTCCAGAACTGTCAGAATATATCACATCTGTTCATTTGATCTCTTCTACTTCAGACGTAATGGAAAAAAAAGAATAATATGCATATACACGTGTGCTGTATCTATAGAAGAAAGATGTGTGGACTTGCATTTTCGGCTACATTTTCGTATATAAAATAAAGTATAGACTATATATATATATATACATAGACGTTTGTCGCACGAAAGAACAGATATTTGTCAGTTACATTTCAAGATGTTTCGATTTCAATATCCTACGTCGAAGACCGCATTTCAGGATCTATCCAGCCATTTCATCTGAATATGAGTTTTTGGCTTTTTTTAACGGACAAAAAGTTATAGAATACACAGCCAGTACTGTGAACAACTACAAGACCGTTACATATCTTGAACTATCCCACGCTCCTGTCTACTTTTGAAATACTTTTTCAGATTAGTTACAATTACAAAGTGAATACGCAGAATTAAACCTGCTCTTTCAGTATATACCATTAAAATTTAGCAGAACTATCTTGCTTCTATGAAAACGAGATAAATGTTCTTTAGTCTATTACTTCCAGAGTTACCAGATGCTTAGGTCAGAAAAGCGGAAAATGCAGAAAAAAGGCGGAAACACATTTTTTACCAAACACAAAGAGTATTTTTTCTAGCGTAAATCGAATGCTGAAGCTCCCATACCGCAAAGATACGCTCTTAGGACCTTTCGTAAATCGAATGCTGTTTCATGAAAAAATGCGGCACAGAGCTCGAAGACGTCTCATTTTGTTCAGAAATGTTTGCTCTATACGACGGAGTTACTTGCAAAGAATTTCTCGATTGAACTCGGGGACTTGGTTTTCTGATATTTGGGTTTTCGAGAGACCCTGGTTTCAGAAGTTTTTGTAGAACCTTTCTATACACCACATCAGATCAAGAAATTCTTTCAGCTGTTCAAATCTTTTTTCAAATTTGTTTTAGCTATTATGGTTGACGAGAAAAATGAAAAATAAAGGTGGACGAATAATTTTTCAACCCACTGTAGTTTTAAGTGGCGAAGGATTTAATACACAAAAGCCGCTGGCAAGCTTTGTTAAGTTTCCTATTAACACATCTTGTAGAACTTTCCAAAACGCATCGAATGGTATATGAATGATTAGAGATCATCTTTAGTTTCATAAAAAAAGGTGACAAAGAGTTCCCGTGGTATAGCCACGACCGATGGAAAAGTCTAGTATTAAATTTATAAAACATGCTGCGCCACTTCGTTAAGCTTCTTATTAACACATATTGTAGAGCTTTTCATGGCGCGTCGAATGATGTATTGCGCTAGGCTTAATATAGGA